TGAAAACGAAAATGGTGTTGCATTTGATGCAGCTGGTTGTGCGCCAAAACCACCAAAAATTGGATTTGCTGTTGCTGTTGTTGCAGCTGGAGTACCAAAAATACTGTTTGTTGTCGATGTTGGTGCCATAGAACCAAAACCTGTAAATGCTGGTGTACTTGTTGCAGCACCAAAAACGGGTGCAGCTGTACTTGTAGTTGTACCAAATATATTAGTTGTAGTTGGTTGAGCACCAAATGGATTTCCAAGTGCTGGAGCTGCTGTTGCTGTCGAAGTTGGCACACCGAATATATTTGTTGTCGTAGTTGGAGCTGTAGTACCAAAAGGTGTGGTCGTTGTTGGCTGAGAAAATATACTTGTACTTGCAGCTGGTTGAGATCCAAAAGAGAATGGTGTTGATGTACTTGTTGCTGTTCCAAAACCTTGAAAAATAAAATAAAAATTATGCATTTTTTAAATATTAAATAATCGATTTAAAATTACCAAATGCTGGTTGAGTTGTAGCTGGTTTAGCACCAAATGGACTTCCTGTTGTTGTTGAACCAAAAATACTTGTTGATGGTTGTGTTGCACCAAATATTGATGTTGTTGCTGGTGCTGTTGAAGTTGCTGTACCAAATGGACTAGCTGTTGTAGCTGCAGGTGTTCCAAAAATACTTGTTGTTGGTGCTGTACTTGTACCAAATGAAAATGATGTTGCTGATGTTGCTGGTGCAGCTAAATAATTATTCATTATATATAATTTATCATGCTATTGAAAAAAAACAAATTATTCTTACCAAATGGACTTGCTGTTGTTGTACCAGCATTACCAAATATACTTGATGTTGTTGATGCAGTTGGTGCAGCAGAAAATGCTGCTAAAATGACAAATATATGGAAAATTTAATAATTTATTTATAAATAAGTATATATTCATACTAGTAGTAGTACCACCAAATCCTCCTGGACTAAATGGTGTTGCTGATGCAAAACTTGTTCCACCAAACATCGAAGTTGCTGCTGCAAACTTTCGATTCGATTGATAATCTTCCATACGTAATTCTTCCATGGATTTACTTATATATTCTTTCATTGCACATATACATTGAAGTTTAGTATTTATTGTTTGAAATGTATTATTCTTTGTACGCATAGTATCTAAATAATAATAATAATAATTTATTTTAATTATTTAAACGAGAAATATATATTTTTTGTTTTTACCTTGTCCAGCTACAGCTTCAAATTTAACTGTTGTACCTACTTGAGTTGTTCCTGTTAATCCTGAGCCAAATATACTTGCTGGTTGTGCAGGTTGAGCTGCACCAAATGTTGATTGTGTTGCACCAAATATGGATGTTGGTTGAGTTGTTGGTTGTGCTCCACCAAATAAAGATGATCCACCAAAACCTAAATAGTTCAATTAAAATAAAATATTCGCTTATTTCAAAGCATTTTGTCTTACCTGTTGTTCCAGTAGTTGGTGCTGTTGCTGTTGTTGTACTACCAAATGCAGTTGTACTACCAAATGGACGAATTGTTGATGAACTTTGTAATCCAGTACCAAATGTAAGTGGTTGTGATGCAGCGGGTGCTGGTGTTGTTGCAGTTGGATTACCAAATGTAAATGTTGAATTTAATGCAGAAGGAGCAGTTGTACCAGCTGCTGGTGTAGTTGAAGAACCAAATAGAAATCCAGTTTGTGCCGGAGCTGGAGCTGTAGTTGTGGATGTTGCACCAAAAGCTGTAAGATATAAATAAAAAGGTAAACTAAAATCTATTAATTTACAATACATACGATTTGATGGTGCCGTACTACCAAACGAGAATTGACCGGTACCTCCAAACATGTTGTTTTTCTTTTTAAATCAGTCAAATTTCAATAGATGAGATGAAGTAATATTTATCGTCTGATAAATTTCTTCATTTTTTTCGCTCGTGCTTAACAGGGTAAGTGATCAACCAATGAAATTTATTTCATAGATGTCACTCAATAGATTTTGTTTTCAAATTTCTATTAAAAAAAACATATTACATAAGAAAATAATCTAATATATTTTGAAATTTATACATTAATTTCTTTTTATTTGTTTATCATTAAACCAATTGGCGCATATTGATGACGATGCAACGGACGAATTATAATAACTATTGATTGTTGGCAGTTTATTTTGCTTTTTTCTTTTTTAGCTCTCTAAATACAATTTAAGATAATCAACGTTATAAAAAAACAAGATTAATGGAAGAACCAACAAAAGCTGATATTGATGCAATATTTAAACGATTAAGAACATTACCGGCTAATAAGGTTTTATCTATGATTAATTCACTTTTCATTGATTTATTATACCAAAAAATATTTTTTCTTAGGTGTGTTTTGATTGTGATGCAAAAAATCCAACATGGGCATCAGTAACATATGGTGTTTTTCTATGTATTGATTGTTCAGCAAGACATCGTGGTCTTGGTGTTCATTTATCATTTATTCGTTCAATTAATCTTGATACAAGTTGGGGATGGCTTCAACTTCGGTTAGTTTTTTTTTTGAATTTGAAACAAACTAATATTTTCCTATTTATAATTTAGAGCCATGCAAGTTGGTGGTAATGGTAATGCTGTAAGCTTTTCTTTTTTTATTTGTAACAAAAGGGAAAACGGTGATTCTTTTAACAATTAGGATGCATTCTTTCAACAACATGGTTGCAATACAAAAGATACACAACAAAAATATAATAGTCGAGCTGCACAACTTTATCGTGAAAAACTTCATCAACTAGCAACAAAAGCTATGAAGCAATATGGAACGAAGGTAAAGAAAAATTTCGAATACTATTTTCTTTTCGTTATATTATTTTTTCTCTAGACTTTTCTTGATGACGGCCATAAAAATGAACATAGTCAATCGGCAATTGAGAAAAAAGAAGGTGATTTCTTCCATGAACATATTCAAGCACCAGCTAAAACTAGTTGGGACGATAATGTTACATATTCAGCACCTGCACCAATTCTTGATAAAAGTTTGTTTTTGTATTCAAGTTATTCATTAATTTTTATTCATTACATTTTCTTTTAGATGAACAGGAGGGTGAAGGACCTTCTATAGATCCAAATGCATTGAATAATGATGGTTCAGCAAAAAATCTCGATCCAAAAAAATCAACTATTGGTCAACGTCGAGCCCCACAACCAAAAAAAGTTTGAATATTAACTATTAGTTTTTTTATATTCTTTGAATAATTATATTTTGTAGAAAGGATTTGGTGCACAAAAAGTAACAACTGATTTCAAAGAAATTGAACGTAATGTACAAGAACAAGAAAAACAACGTGAACAACAAGTACAATATGAAATTGAGAATCGTAAAGAAACAGAAAAACAATTAGAAAAACAAATGTATACTTACTAAGAAAAATAAATAAATTAAAATAATTATATATATTATAGGGCTGGTCTCAAATTTGCTTATGAAGATATGGGTAAAAAACGTGAAGTTGAAGAAGCAAAATTAAAACAATCAAATCCACAAAAAGCTGAACAAATGGAACGTCTTGGTATGGGTTTTGGTAATCGAAGGTAAATATTAGTTGTTATTTTTGTTAATAATTCAAAATATTTCGTATATTATTTATCGTTTAGTGGTGTGAGTCATAGTGCTATGACAGATATGCAAACAATTCAACAAGAAGGTTTAGCAACAACACGAAATGTTTCACTTGCAACAAAAAGTCGAGATTTTTTTGATGATTTTAATACATCTGGATCTGGTTTTGGTAGTCGATCAAAGTATGAAATGAAATTTTTAGAATTAATTACATTGAATTTATTCTCTAGTTACGATAATTTATCATCAAGAAATAGTGATCGCTATGATGAGGAATCTAGAAAGTACTAATATGTCGCTCTATTATATATAAATGCACGTGCTTTTCTAACATATTATTTCTGGGATAGAGACTATAAATAATGCTTATTTAACTTCTTCTTATATATTTATGTGGGAAATAATAAGATAGAATTTTTTGTTCGACTTGCACTGAATATTTTCTGTAAATCCTTGACGATAATAATCAATTTAACTCAATAGAAATAATAAAAACTAAAAATATCGGAAATCCGTGTCTATTTAGAAATAACTAAAGTCTTTAGATATCTGCACTAATTTGAATAGAAATTTTTGATAACTATATGTATAGGTTTTCTATAATGAATTTTTTTATGATATAGACTTGATGATGATTTATTCAAACCAAAATCTTCATCAAAGAATACGGATACGTTTAGTTCTGAATGGGAAGTTATTGATCGTAAAACTCCAACAAAAGAATTTGGTACTAGTGGAACAAGCAATTCATTTTCATCGAATTATGGTAGTTCATCTGCAAATAGTGGTGGTTTTGGGTAAAGAAAAATTTATTTTTTTTTGTCGTTAAAATTAAATGATCTATTTGATTTCGTAGTTCATCATCATCATCATCATCATCAAAAGTAACAACATCTTATAATAGTGGCAATAATGATGGCGATGCTTTGAAACGTTTTTCAAATGCTAAAGCAATATCAAGTGATCAATTTTTTAATAAAGATTCTGATGTATGAATATCTTAAAAATATAAGAGAAAAGAAAATTTAATTTATATTTTTAGAATGATCGTAATAATGTAACATCACGTTTTCAAGGTAATACAAGTATTTCAAGTGAAGATTATTTTGGTGATCCAAATAAAAAATCTCAAGATCGTGGAAATAATTATCAAGGTCCAGATTTAACAACCATGAAAGCTGATTTTAAAGAAGGTGTTACAAAAGCAGCTGGTCGTTTATCATCATTAGCTAGTAGTGTTATGTCTAGTATTCAGGTAAGAGATATTAAAATCTAAATAAAGATTTTTTCCTTTGTATTTTACAGAAATAAAAATACTAAATATTTTTTTATAGAAAAAATAAAATTTTGGGTAAGATACATAAATCTAATATATATATGGAGAAGGTTTTGTTTTGAAATTATTATTATTTGGTTGTGGGTTTTATTATAAAATATTTTTTAATAAGAAACATATTGTCTAAATATGTTTGTTTCTTTTAGGATCGGTATTGAATTGTTTTAAGAAGAATGATGTGGCTTTGTTATCATCTTTATATACTTGTTTTATCTTCTTTTCCTATGTCAGCATTTTATTTCTTGTTTAACATACAGAAAGTAACTTTATATCAACAAAAAAAAAATCATTTAGTGTCATACTTTTATCATCTTACTATTTTTTCTCTGGTTGTTTGTTATATCTTTGTCTTGTGTGTTTGTTCTTCTTTTAATTTATTTTAAAAAAAAAGCATACTTGTCATTCATATCTAAATGCATATTAATATAAATATAAAAGAAACTTGTATCGATTTCATTGAATCAATTGATTAGAATCTAATAGATGAAAATTTTAGAATTCTATTTTCAATATAATAAAATGTTTGATGTAGATTTTTAGTATAAAATATTGGACGTCATTCATGAAGTACGTTCAAAGAAGCGGTGGGGATAACGGATGTACCGAGATCGAATCTCTCAGGACTAGAGATGTGCGAGACCAACACTTGAATCTGGTGCTATATAATGATCTTTACCATGTTGACCTTATTCAAGAAAAATGAAACAAAAAAGTGCAAATTGTCTACTAAACAAATCTGAAAACGAGTATTGAAAAATTGTTTTAGAAATTTACTGAATAATTTGAGGGTGTAGCTGTGGGTATGGGTGCCCTCTTTCGATCAACAAGGGACACCTACACCCTCATAATTTGACCTTTTAAATCTTTGCGTCATCAAAATTAAAGATCTGTCAACTAATTAGATCTAATAAAAAGTACAATGCGAAGAAAAACGAAAAAATCAAAATCCAGAAGATGGTCTCGGGACATCCCATACACGGTGGATCAATAATGGCATACACTCATATCCATCATTTCGTATTTTATAGAAAAACTGAGATTCAAAATGAATATTGTTCTTCAGATGTATTCAATTTTCTTGAACGTTCTTTATGTATGGCTCGTTAGTATCTCAATTAAAAAAACATTTAGAAGCAATTTATAGAAATGAAAACACTATATGATACTTGAAAAAGTCCATCAACATACTCGAATCATAACAAAAAAAATCGATTAAAGTATGAATAATATTCAATGATTTTTTTTGGTTCTACTGAGAATCCTTATAGAAAATTTTTCTTGCTGATTTTTACATGAATAGTAACGAGAAAAAATTTCAAGCATCAATATTTGCTTTTTTTAAACACCAACGAAATATAACAAGAATCACTTGTCTTCATCGGCTATCAAATAATAAAAGTAGCTGAAAGAGAGAAAAAAAAAGAAATAAAGGTTATGACATTAATTGCATGACGTATCACAATCATATTTGCATATAGCTTATCGGATACAGGCAAGCATCAGTCAAATTTGTATACTTCATCTATTAACTAACTACAAATATGAAATATATTATTAAACGAAAATCTTCTTTTCAAAATAAAAAATTTGAAATTAGTTGTGATTCAAAACAATTATGTACAGCGAAAGTAACACCTTGTCAAAAATACAATGGTCAATACAAGTAGATATATCTTTATTTAATTCTTGTACGAAATAATCTTATTTTATATAGTATTATATTATCAAATTCGAATAACAAGTCAATGGAAGAAAATTCTTGTATTATTGAACCAAATTCAAAATATCCCCGAAGTTATTTTATTCATTTAATAAATAAGGAAACAAATCAAATAATTCGTTCGGCTCAATTATCTTATGAAGTTTGTAGTTATAATAATTATCTTTATACAATTATTATTGGTAGAAAATTATATAAAGTACGAAGTTGTGATTTAAAAGATCGTCGTTTGACTATTGTTGATGCAATTCAATCCAATGATTCTTCAACAATTAATTGTCCGAAAACTTTATTTCAAGTTATTGATTCATTTACAAAATCAAATAAAAAATATCATGTTACAATTAATGATACAAAATGGCAATATATTTATCTTGCTATTACTATTCTTCTTAATCTACATGAATGTAAATAAAATAAAATTTGAATTATAATAAATAAATAGACTCGATGATTTGCGAACTTGTTTAATTGAAATGTTTTAATATTGATTCATAAGAGATTTATCAAATATTAAGGATGCATGCGTCTAAGTGAGTTGTATTTTTTCACATTGTAACATCTGCTATATATCTTCAGTAAAAAAAGTAAATTCTAATCACTAGTAAACATTTCGTCAAGTTTACTCCTGTAGAACGTGAGTTATTCAAGGAATTCTTTCTAACAGGAAGAGTTTAGTATCCGGGATATGATGATTTCACAAATCGATTATATAAATCATTTTTGTTATCAATTCAATGGTATTTATCTGTCGTTTATTATTATTACACAAGAAACAAGTATGATATATGAATATTTACCAACAAGGATTAAGTTCTGTTTTTAATGACGTAGTGCCATATGGCACGTAAATGATTATATAAATATTCGGAATATTTGATGAACAATCTTATATTACAAAATGGTGAAATATTTTTCTTAAACTTTTTATTGTAAAATAAATACATATATGTAAAATTAGATAAAGTAGAATGTTAATTTATTTCTCATGACCAAAGTGTCATTATCGAAATTATAAATATATTTTGTTTGAATGGTTTTTATGAATGACGCATTTTTAGAACATTTTATTACTCAAAATAAATAGATATTCATTGAGATATCTAGTTTTCATACATCTTACGAAGGTGTAAGTGAAACAAAATGCGTCATCAGAACGTTAAAGATAGTAAATGATGTCATCCTATCTTGTTAAAAGAATATCAGATAATATAAAACGAATACCTTACTTATTATATTTACAACAATCATGAAGCTCAGTATTATTTTTTTCATTATTACTTTGTTCATTATAGACGGCGTACAAAATGTGCCCGTCATTCATCCAATCCATGTTCACACAATTCCATTACATCCAGTTACTGTACGACCGACACCTACTAAAATAAAAACTTCAAAATCTAGTGTACCATCTATCACTCCTACTCAATCTTGGTGGCATTGGATAACCTCTACTCGACATACTCATATTATTTCAACTCCATCTTCGATACATCATCATCGTTTATCGTGGTATAAACAAGATACATTTAAACGAATTCTTCACATTTTTCTTTTCGTCGTAATACTTGCTATCCTATGTAAAATCCTGAAAACTATTTGTAAATCAAACAAACAAAAGAAACTCAATAAAAAAACTAATCCTGTTACAGTACACAACAAAATGTATGTTTCTACAATTGATGGCAACCGTGAAGGAGCACCGCC